GTGAGACCCCACCTGGAGTACTGTGTCCAGCTCTGGAGTCCTCAGCACAGGAAAGACATGGACCTGTTAGAGCAGACCCAGAGGAAGGCCACAAAAATAATCAGAGGGATGGAATACCTCTCCTATGCAGAAAGGCTTAGAGAGTTGGGGTTATTCAGCCTGGAGAAGGGAAGTCTCTGGGGAGACCTTATTGTGGCCTTTCAGTACTTAAAGGGGGCTTACAAGAAAGATAGGGACAAACTTTTTAGCAGCGCCTGTTGTGGTAAGACAAGGATTAGTGGCTTTAAAGTAAAAGAGGGTAGATGCAGACTAGATATATGGAAGAAAGCTTTTACACTGAGTGTGGTGAAACACTGGAAGAGGTTGCCAAGAGAGGTGGTAGATGCCCCATCCCTGGAAACATTCAAGGACAGGTTGGATGGGGCTCTGAGCAATGTGATCTAGTTGAAGATGTCCCTGCTCATTGCAAGGGGGATGGACTAAATGATCTTTAAAGGTCCCTTCCAATCCAAACTATTTTATGATTCTAATCATGAACTATCATTATCAATAAAAACTATCAGATCAGGAAGTCTACACATCCTTCAAGACAACCATGCAGAGACATCTCCCCACCTCCCAACACATTAGCACAAGTTAAACTTTCTTATGGTGGCAATCTAACATTTCATTTTTCTCCAGACCAGCATGATAGATATCTCTCTATATATAACTTCTTTTTCATTGTTTAAAAAAAAAACCCTGTTATCTGCCAGCAAATTACTTTTTTTTGTTTCACTTAAACTTTTCCAACTGTCTTTCATTCTTATTTCTTTTCCTAACCTTCTAAAACACCTTTTACCTAACTCTATAGTATTTTACTGAAGTCTTCCTGTTAATCCCCTCACTCTTCCCACTCCTCTTCAGAACAAAATGCAATAAAAATTTATTAAACCCATATTTCTTGCCCCCAGTATGGATTTCTTAATGATTTATTCTGTAAGCTTTCCCATTGCTTTCTCTTTTTTGATTCCTGACTTTCTTTGTGACTGTAATTCTGTTTCCAGACCACCTCAGTCTGCTACGAGCTTTTAGATACTGCAACAATGGCAAGCTGCAGTATCTAAAAAACCTAAAAGCCTGTTGTTTAACAACAAAGAAGCTTGCCTGTTACAGTCCCTTTACCAATAACTCATTTTCTTAGAAATGAGAGAAAGCTGTAACACCTAAACTTACCTCCAGCAAAAAGAGAAGTTGCAAGCACCAGCCATTTGTAAAATGATTGCACCTCACCTGCATTTGTTTAAGGCCTTTGAAGTTACAGTGCTGCCCTCAGAAAGGCCTGCTAAGGAAAAAAAAATACTAGAAAAGGTTAATTCTGCAGTTACTGGTAGTTAAGGATGTTCTCAAGAAAGATGTTTTGGGAAACACTGCTACTAAGTTAGCGTTTCCTTTGTTGTCTGTTATGTTATTTAAGTATTTCTAGGGAAATTTGAGTGGTCTGATATAAGGAATAAATTGCCTCTATTTTCTGAACAATAAACTAATTCATCTAATTCATGCTTGCCCTTTCACATAGAAGTAACTGGCTGCATTTCAGAGCAATATGTCTCACAGACTGCACAATCTCTCAAGACATTTTATTTTGAAGTTAAGCACAGACATTAATTTTTTTTATAATTTGGTAGAGATTTCAGAATTCTTTGGGGTAAAGTGAACAATATCACAATTATTCATAATTGGGCTGCTTCATCTAGCTTGCCAGAAAAACATCATATGGAGAATACATCCTTTACCCAGGCTATTGCCTTCATGCTCAAATAGTGGTAACTACTCAAGTAACAGTAGTGGTAACAATGAGTTAAAAACAATTCAGAAAATAAGCAGAAGAGGTAAACCCTGTGTTCTCACCTTTTCCATTCTTCAGCCTTGATTAACTCTGAAGCCACTGAAAAGTATACCTGTCAAATTGACTTGACTTTGGCCCTGTATCACCATCATGGGCTCACTGGGGGTGGCACTGCCCCAGATGCCCACCTGGCTGCCCTGCTCGCGGGCTGGGGTTGGTGGGACGGATCCTGGCTGCCAGGTCCTGCCAGACTGCACATGGGTCCCCCAGCACCCTGGCCCCAGGGAGGTGCCCGTGCTCATGGTACATTGATACTGGCTGTCCTTCAATAGCATCAGAGAAAACGAATATTAGCTTTTAGTTGCTTTGTTGGTTTTGTGTGTGTGTGTTCTTTTTTTATTTGGGTTTGGACTTTTTTTTTTACTTAGTGGTGTTAGCAGTAAATTCATCAGTAATCGATAGAATGGCTTCAATTACTCTTATGCTGTTTCATTACTGCTTGCTTCTCATGCCCTTATTCAGCAGATAGAGAGTTGTATCTTCAGAAATCCTGGACTGATGCTGGAATCAAACTCACAAAAAATAATCAAACACTTTTCTTGGTCACAAATGCAGCACGTTCCAGTCTCCGTCCTTCAGCATAAGAACATAGATCCTTCAGATTGCCCTAGGGTGTTTCAGCTTAAGCAGTTTGTGTTGCCTTGATGAAGAATATAAGTGATAGTGTACATGGAAGTGATACCATAGCTGTCCATTATATCACCAGATTGTGCAAGTGGTGTTTTGTTTTCCTTCATTCACAGAGGCAAAAATCATATTCTACAAACGAGATGTCTTTAATATTTGAACTATTAATTTCAAATGGTACTATATTCTACCAAATATATACTTTATACATAGGAAGGTAGAACAAAATGCTGCAGCCAGGCATGTCCTGAATACCAAGAAGGGCAGAATCGTTACTCCAGTGCAACAATTAACACTTGCATGCCATTAGGGAATGGCCTCATTGCAAAACTTGTCTATAATGAAAAGCTTTGCATAGGAAACCTCTAATATACATCACGACTTTCATTTTGCCCTACTTATCACACAGTAGTTTCAATTTCATTGCAAGTGCCCTTTCAATTAAACTTGCAGTACACTATATGCAAGGAATCATAACATTCTCCAAATTCTTTTATTTTTAAAGATATCTTCCCAAATCCATTTGAAAGCAATTCTTTAAAAAAATCATGTGTTTTTTTAATTGCTTTGGAAAGTGTCACAGCAGTACACAGCACCTTGTGATTTTTTGTCATGAAAGATTTAGTCATTCAGATAAAAGTAAATGATTACTTTTTCCCCGCTTTGTGATAAAAAGAAAGTGCCTGTTTAGTCCTAAAAGATGGTATTTGCTTAGCAGAAAAAACCCTTTTTTTTTCATTCAAAACTTTCATCTTATCATCAGAGTGCCTGAATGAATTCTAGAAATTTGTTGCCTGACCTGATCAACCTGCTGCCAGGTGTGGTTCATTCTGCTTTTCCAGCAGTACCATTGACAATGCTTTATATTGATACCAGCTCTGGAATATTTCATTGCTTTTTAAAATCTAACTGAAAGATAGTTTCATCTTTTTGCTACATAAAAGATTTTTACAGAAATTTAAGTATGATGCTAAGGTCAATTTGGAATTATTCTTTTTTTTTTGGTAAATTTTTAATAAATCACCAATGAAATTTAAACAACATCCCCAAGCGTAAGCATTTTTCAAATAGGAATGAGCTTACAAATAAAGTTTCTTTATCTGTTCAGTTCAAATGAGAAAGTTGGTTATCTTTTGCCAAGAATGCAGTGTGACACATTTTTTCTTTTTTTTTTTTTTGTTGCAGTGCTATATGTGTATAATTTAGCAATGACACAGGTAAATAAATTGTTCCTATCAAGGTATTTGTATATACTTTTAAATAATTTCTCTTGTATTTTGAGCAACATATCTGAAATATATCAGAGTATAAAATATAGTCGCAAGGCTGAATTTTAGAAGTTGAGTCTTTTTCTAAAAATGTCACACATTATCTTTGCATTATCAGCTACTCGCAATAGTTGTACTTATTACTCACCTGTAAATTAAAGGGGGACCTATCTTGTGATCAGTGAACGGAACTGATTGACTCTCAAAATATCTGAACTAAATTTATGCGTCATTTGAAGTCTGGCTTTTTCTGAGCAAGACACATGACTATATGAAAAACTTTCAGTGGCGTGCTGACATAAACAGAACACTGAACCAGTTCCCTCAGGCTCAGTTTTTCAGTACAAAGAAACCTTTTTGCTAATTGTTGGTGCTGCCACTGACATTTAAGGAAGCACAAGCCTAAGACACCTGCAGGGTCAGAGATTAAGGGTCTGTGGAAGGAAGAAGGTAGAGCTAAGAAGACATTATTGGGTGAAACATTATTTTCCTGTGTATGACCCCTCCATTCTTTGGCTGGTGTGGTTTGTTAGAGCTTAGATGGCACTCAGAAAGCTGATGCTTTCTGAAGGTACTAATTCACAATCCAGCAAGTTTCCACGGGAATTCAGCCTCTTAGGAGACTTCATTTTATTGGTGGTAAAACAGAGGTCATAGATGTTCCTCTGCCATTTCAGGGAAGCGGCTGAGGTCTATTATCTGGGATGTGCCTGCCCCATCCTCCATTTTAGTGGAATACAATCCAGCATTGAATCAGAAGATTTCATCACAGGCTGGGCCTGACTTGTCATGACCAGATCCTGATGGTGCTAACAGAGTTACATGACTTTTGGAATGCTCAAAGTCTGGCAAAACAGGCTAGCTTCTGCTGATAATATAATTTGCTGGCATGTGCTAAATATTTTTAAAATGTTGCACTCATATTCTCTGGAAAAAAAAGATTATCTTTCAACACTAGCATTTAGGGGGCTGATCATGATGGACCTCAAGCTCAGCTGGAGACTCAGGATGCTACAATGGTAGTTTTTAACAGCAGTGATGTATTTTTACAGAAAAGAGAATAATAAATTGCTGGGCTGCTTGATCATTATTCAGCACTTCTATAATGGGGGGAAAAATAATTGATATGTTTCTTTTTTGGCAATAAGACTCAAAATGAATCAGATATTCTTGACAGGGAGACACTTAGGAAAAATAAATGTAACTACAACACTCCATTAAAGTAAAAGTATCTTTACTATTAATATACAAATGGTGAAGAGTGACAAATAATTGATATACTTTAAGCCATACTTTCAATGTCTTTCATAAATACAAAACCAGCATCTGCAATATTACTTCTTTTTACAGTATAGAGAGATATATATATACACAGCATTTCATAGGGACGTAAGATTTTGAAACAATAAACAAACTAGCTCCAGTGGTAGCTAACTTATCAATATATAATTCAGGTGGTATATATCGCAAGTGGGCTGTTGACAACATGTGGAATAACAAAAACAATATATGGTATGCTTTAGCTTATACTGTACACAGCATACAAATACATACCAAGTGCTCATTGTAGCAGGAAAGCTTTTTTTTTTTTTTTAAAGTAAACAAACAAACAATGTCTAAGTAGTTCAAAATTCTTAGTGAGAACTCTACACCATGAGCAACGAAATTATCTTCTTGCGGGGTCTGACTGCTTTATATATTTGTCACTGATCTATAGAGACACTGAGGGTTTGTTTTCCCTTCTCCCAACCCTGCATTTTAGGTTCAAAAACGTAGCCTACTTACACAGCAACATTAAAGGATACAGCAGGGCTGAAGTTCCCCCTCCTCCACTTTTCAGAGCTGGTAGTATGCTGCCTTTTGGCAATGCCCTCCAGCAGCCTCACTTGTTTCGTTAACTCCCCGTTTCCCTTGTTACTCCTAACGAGAGACGCTCCCACTTTCTGAGCCCTCTCTCTCAGCTCATTCTTTGGCACCCGTTCTCTCTGGTAGTGGCTTTCCTGAATTCTGACGGCACCTCATCTGGTCATTTTGCCCTCTCCCAATCTCACCTGTGATGTAAAAGCTGCCAATACAAATTTGGCAATAAATATTTATTTCATTTCTCTGGGCTAAAAATGGCCAATATTCAAGTTTGAAAGTCAAACATCATGAGGCTTGCAATGCCTGTTAAGAGGAAAGATAGACTGGTAAACTGATTTCTCAGAACCTGTTCCAAAGCCAAATTTGTTATAGAAAGGTTTCTTTCTGGCTCAGGTTCAGATAAAATGATATAATAACACATTTATATGTGCAGTGCAAATATTGAAGATCACTTAAAACTTAGTGAGTGGTTTTCCCCCACCACTACAGAACTGCTGTCAAGTTGATTGGGTACTCCAGGAAATGATATGACAAAAATCTGAAAAAGGGGGTAGATCCTTTTTTAAAAAAAAGATTTATTTAACCATGGTTGCTTTCCCTCGATCAGAACAAGTATCTGAAGTTAAACAAAGGGATTTAATAAAAAATATTACTTAGAATGTTTTCATCTTTGCCTAAAGAAGTATTGCAATCACAATGCATTATTTGGAGAGATGTTTCATGTCTTTTATTTCTGGGCATATAGGAATGTATGGGATAAAACAGTGATCGGATATGTTCATCAACATTTCCTGATCAGTACAAGCTCCTGACAGAAAAACCTCCTCTGCAAAAGTTGTAAGCAGGAGCCTGGCAGGACATTTAAATTCCACTTACACTTAAAAGTCTGATTCACAAAAGTGACTCAATCAGCCAAGGACATGCAGAGCCTCCCTGAGATGGACGGGTGAAATTCAGGCCCCACTGAAGCCAGTCTTAAACCCCAGTGAGTCCTGGATTCCACTGTGGCCCTTCTTGCAGCACTCTCAGCATCTCAGCACCCCTCTTGATCAATTTGCAATAGGAATCTTGAGCTTTTTAAGTAAATGGTCTTTTTGGAGGCCTTTTAATCAGGTGTGAATGTCACCCAACAGATACAACACTTACTCTACAAAGATATTACTTCCTATGATAGCTTACACAGAGATGGTGGGACCACAAATGACTATTAATATTCACTGCAGTTTTACTCCAGAGGTAAAATGGTGGGAAGATGCTCCACATCATCTCTTACATTTATGAGAAGATTTTAATGTTTAAGGTCTAAATACTTCATTAGAACTAAGGAGACTTTCTATCTGACTCTTCAACTTGATAAATTGGTCAAAACACCCCTACACACTCACCATGTGCTCCATCTACTTGAATCATTTCAGCAGTAGTACACCCACTATGACCCTCACTAGAATTGTGATCTCAATAGATTTTTGCAAATTTTGTGTTTAAAATGTGACTTAATAATACTATCTCCAGCTTACTTTAGATGGGTATTTGAGCATATTTGAGCAGAAAAGTATGTCATGATAAAGCTTTCAAATATTTTAAACAGGCTTTGTAGACAAATTATTGAAGATTTTTCTTTAATAAAGCAGAGTGGCATGCTATCAAAAGGCACAAATACATTTCCATTATCCAGTCTAGGAAACAGAAAAATGGCATGATTATTATACTACAGTTTGATGATTGGCACTTAAATAAATAATCAAAGTAATTACCATCATAAAAAGAAAGCCACTTTTTTGATGAATATTAATGCAGAGGCTGAAGACAGCAGATGGAATTTACTAGACCATGGACTGCTGTCAAACAGCCTTTGTAGATGACTGTCACTGTGTAACTACGTTGTATATATCTATGAAGAGATAGAAAGTAGGCCCAGTCCTGCAAGCTCTCCTATGAAATTAAATCCATCCTCCTGCTCACATTGACCCCACTGATGGCAGTAGGGTGACATATGAGATGTGGGTTCAGCTACACAAAATTTCTTGCAAGATCGAGGCCTAAATAAATTAATCTTTTTCACATTAGGCATTAGCATCACCAGGATAGTAAATATTTCTGCAAACAGAAAAATAATCTCAGAAGTTGAAAAAACAAATAGACAAACAAAACCATAAAAAACTCTCCAGAGTACATTTGTATACTAAATTGTAAAACAAACATTAGTTAAAACTTTTGTTATTATTGTGGTAAATCAGAATGCATGTCTACTAAAAAAATAATAACAAGAAGATCTAAGTCATTTTACTTACTTCTACTCATTTTTTGTTGAAGAGAGATTGTCACTGCCACATTCCATATTGTCAATAATTTCAATGGCTCCCTCCCACCCTTGTCCCTGGAGTATGTTAGTGTAACAATTCAGATTACTTTTACAAATAGTTATATTCTGTCAACTCTTCTGACATTTCATACTAACACTTAAAATTACTTTTAGACAGTAAAAGTGACATTTATACAGATACCTGTTCTCTTCTTTTTAGTCTAGAATAGGAAAAGAAAATAAAGAAATTATGTTATCCCAGTTCTACACATATCTTACAAATTACTACGTGCTGTCCCTCATTTGGAAATATTTGCAAATATTAGTGGTTTTGAGCATTATTTCATAGTTATTGTTTGGCTTTCTCCTGCATAGCATAAAGTCAAAGCACAAGAGATAACCTATTAATCCACAGACCAAAGAGTATGCTTGGAACAGTCCATCAGTAATTTAGAACTGTTTAATTCTCAGCTCTCACATAGCCCAACCGGCACGAGACTTAACAGCAGGAAGAAAAGAAATATTTCTGGAAATAGCTTTTGGTTTGTAATCCAATATAGTGGGAAATGCTTTTGCTTCCAGTATTGAAATAATTTTGCAGTATATTTTACTTGTAAAGAGTATCACAGGCATATTAATAATACATGTGCTGACAAGACCTCTTAAATCCTCTAATCCCTTCACATTGTAATTAGAGGCCATATTAGGAAAAAAAACCTAAACTGAACCAAAACCTCAATATATAGCTAGGCCATGAGGATTTTTTTGTGTAAATCTCAATAAGAAGTACTCAAATTTGAAATGCATCTACGGTTGAGCCCTAGACACTGTTAGCTCTGCCCACATTGTATGGGAACCTTGTTGTGCAAATGATCATGCTGGCATCAGAAAAAGCACCATTTGCCTAGCAAAACTTGACTTACGCCAATATGCATGGCACCACCTAACTTTGTGGTAGTAGGTAGAAGAGGAGAGGATGTTTACTACCTTCATCCTCATCTGGGTAAAAATACTGCATGAGATGATGTGGGGTGCAGATGTTCAAGCCACACCAACTGCATTATTCTCAACTGCTTGAATTTACCAGGTCCCTTCCTTGCATTTTGATAGAAGGAGAAAGCCCAGCTGCAACTACATACCTTGTAGAAAGAAAATATATTCATACATATAAATGAGGCAGCTGGTTCTCTTAATCATAGGTTAGGGGGTAGTCCTGCTCACTGTGTACTTACTTGGAAAGAAACAGGACAGAAATTTCATAGTCAAGCAGCTATTTGGTAATACTGCCTGCTCAGTACATGGGAGCAGCAGTGAGAGGTCATAAAGGAATGTCTTCCTCTTTGCTTCGCCCAGACATAGTGCCTTAGCATTTAAAAAGATGTATTTGAAGCAGTTTTAAATTATTCTTTCGTGACTTTCATCCTACATTGCTATCTCCTCTTATGCATTGTTTTCACCTTGGTTCTTGTTTTGTGGGAATTCGGCCTCTTATCCTAGCCACACCAGTGGTATGTCTGTGTCCTCAACTACTTGGTTCATTGTGGATATTTCCAGGAAAAGTTGTAAAAGTTGTAAGAAACCTCATAAAATGACTTGGTTTTGAAAAATAAGAAAGATCTATGAACTAAATATATCCTCAGCTCTTTCAAATCGGTTAACCTGCCATTTTCCCCAAATTTAAGGACATTCACGTTTCACTTTCAGTTTACTGCACCACTTTGCCATGACTACAAAATATCAGCTAAGTGTTGATGACATTCTGTGGGAAATCAGGAAGTGTAAGGACTTCAAATATGAGCAAAATGCAAATATAGGATGGAGAGAATATAATTTACTGAGTGAAGCTACACTTAAACCTCAGGTATAACTTAGGTACTTAAAAATCCACAACGTACTCTACAGTTTACTGCTGACAAGTGTATACACTATGCTGGAATGGAAACAAAATATATTGCTCCAATTAGCAGCACCATTAAATCAATAACAATAAATAAGAATTATGTTTTTATCAAATAAATCAGTCAAATTTCACAGTGCTGCAGAATAATAAAAAGTATTATCTTAAGGAATGCTCAACAGGAAAAAAATATATTTAAGCTAAAAAAAGATGCTATTAATTAATAATTTAAAACTGTTCCTAACTGTTTAGTCAAAGTCCTCATTTCCATCTGTTCTTACGGGGGTTTTTTGTTAAGACAAAGTGAATGAAATCATAAAGGAACAAGTGCTACTTTAATAAGGCCAACTTTTAAAATTTCATGTACTAATTTGGGGAGAAAATATATCCACTATACTAAAATGCAGTTTTATCCCCTGACAAAAAGTTTAGAACTAAAGGAACAAATACTGTATATGTATATAAATGTTGTGACAAATATTTTGAATGTGTGTTTATTGTAAAGTTTCATTTAAAGCTAAGATGATGATCAACAAAGTTTTCACACCTTTCTGCATTTTAGTTTACATGCAACCTCACAAACATTAATACAGAAAACCTGAAACACTGGAAATCCTGGGGCCTTTCAGAATCACAGTCATGTAGTTAGGATGAGGCAAATATACTGCTATAAAATATTTAGCTAATTTTATTTAAATCTGGACATAGTGTTTATCAACCTTTTATCATACCTAAGAACCCAGGTGGGACTGCAGGTGGAGCTGGCTCAAGTGTTGAAGACTGTCTTTTTTTGTTTGTTTGTTCCAAGTGATAAGCACAGCTGAAATGACTACTGAATATCTGCTAGTGCTAAGGTCTTAAATGTTATACTGAGATTGTTTCTCTTTTTGTTTTAAAGGCAACCTAAACTTTTGCTTTATTATAAAGGGATACAAATAGAGTAGTGTATGGCATTTTATGTATATAGCTTGCATTGTAGGAGAAAGACCCGATGTGTTGCTTGTGGTTAGGGGTGCTTTGTAAAGTATTCTTCTAAATAGATATACTTGTCATATAATAAATTACAGTTCTTATTCTGCAGATTTTTCAAATTTATACCGTGGGACTTGGTGTCAGCAAAACTACATACTAAAACCATTAACAGAAAAATAGAAAGGAACTGTAGACAGAAACCGTTTCATCATATGTACACATGTACTGACTATTCCAAGCTTAAGTTTCCCAAGAAATTAAGGTCAGCTGTAAAGTTTTGGTCACGGGGTTACTTCAATCCAAACGCATTATCCAGACAGCTGTAGCTTATCTTATGCTTTGCTATCATCTTCTTTTGACTGGATGATGTCATTAGCAACTTTGATTTCTATGGTTTCTGGATTTAAAGCTTCTTTCCCATTTTCCTCCTTTAGTGGCAACTTCCTATCAGAAGAAAAGAGGAATCATGGTAGCACATAAGTAACACATATTCTGGAATTTAAGTCTACAAAGTATGTATTGTTTGCACAGCCCACAGTGTTTCTAAAAACATAATTTATTGAAAATAAAGCGTAATTACTGAGGTTCTTTGCTTTTAAAGAAACTCATATTAACTCTATTTCTACAAAGCCAGAAAAAGCTAAATGGCGCATGGTAAGAACCCTGCTGCTGCCCAATACACAGTTTCTTTAATACAACAAAAGAAGCAACAGAATGCTAAATAACCTGATTCAAGACAGTATGGAGGTATGTGTTTCTGAGGATACCATGAAACATTACAATCAAGCCTTTTGCTGAATCTAGATTACACTCTTTTTTTTAATGTCTATTTCTAAATGTAAATTCATATGTATAAGAAAGAAGACATCTATCATTGGAGGTTATGCCAAGATGTAGGTAAAGGAAATAACTTCTTATAGCACAAGGAGGTAATGGAAGTTACATTATTATTTAGAAACATCTATGATTTCTTGTTGCTAGAGCACACAATCTAGCTGTGTTAATAACTTATAGCTCTTTTAAGATAAACTGAATGAAAACTCTGAAGAAATGGCACAAGAAGAAGCTGGCTACTTCTATTCATCTCTGTGATAGAAGCTGTACTTATTTGAATACAAGAAAAACTTCAAACGGTATTTTAATTTCAGAAACAGTCTAAAGATTTCTTTGGGTTTTTTAATCCTCAATTCCAATGGCAAATGAGTCCCCACCCTTACTTTACAGGAAAAACAAAACTCTGCTTTGATTCAAAAAGGTCTTGAAAATCATTGATTCCCTAGTGCCAGTAGTTAGCTGTCAAAAAATATAGCTGTCAAAAATATGTATGGTTTACTCAGATGTTCCTGTAATAATGTCTCCTGGGCATAATAGCTGTTAATCATGATTCCAGTTTGGGTTTGGTTTCTGTTTTTTAACTAGGGAATAGTATGCATATGCCTTTTTTATTCATAACAACTGTTAAATGTTTCAGTAAATTTCCACTGCGATTGCTTTGATGTCCCAAAGAACAATATACTGTTCAAAAGCTGTCTGAGGAATCCCTTAGGAATGTCTTGTAATAACAGTGTTTAATAACGACAAATAAACCAAAGCAATACCCAAATTCCCAGTCTTATGATATTTAGGCAGTCTGACACAAACTAAGAAAGATGCTGTTTATCTAGAGGTTAAACAACCAGCACAATCTAAGTGAAATCAGAAGAGAAGACTAACTTGCTCTATTTCAGTAAAATATAGGGGACATATATCAGCTGTCTGGCTTTGAGCACAGAGAAAGGTCTCTAGTAATTGTCTGTTTCACATGACATACCCAAAGGAAACATTTCAGCCCACAACATGATGTCCGGAAGAATGGAAACAGCAGAATCAACGCAAATCTATTTTAAAAAGAGGATAAAGCACTGGGGCAAAGGAAGCACAACTCATGAAACTCATTTTAGGTAAGCAGGCACCTGTGCTAAAGGTCTGATCATGCAAAGCACTTAAACCAGTATTAAAAAAAGACCTTATTTAATCTAGTTTTATATAAAGGCAGAGTAATTTCTCAAAAGATGGTGCTGAAAGGGAGGAAATATTTAGTCAAAATAATAACCGTGGAATAGACAGAATATCCTGTGTGGTAATTAAAATAAATTGTTTTTGGAGAAGTGGATTAAGAGCATGTTACAAGTAATTTCAAATTATTTGAAATAGGAAGACTTGCTAGAAACCTGTTGAAGGATACTAGATATCACTGAAATCTTCATGCAAACAGTGTGATAAAATTAGCCTTGCTTTCAATGCAAGCAAGGAAAAAAAGAAAAAAAAAAACACTACCAACAAATGAAATGTTTTACAAATTTTGCTCATCAAAAAGTTCATCCACCATTCTTTGACCTTACTGTCTTTAAAAACTTGTAGGTTTTTTTGGATATGATGTGGTTATCAGTTTAGTTATCATTAGACAGTGTACTTTGGACTATGACATTTTTGTTATTTTGGAATTTTCCTCTCCATTTGTTTCAAATATTAATTCATATTCAATCTCTATTAACATTTAATACTTTTGCTCTTTTAGTTAACTAGATCAAGTTTAAATGTTATAATTACACCAATTTTTCTACACCTATTTTTATTTTAGCTACATCTATTGGAAATAGTTTTATGTTTTTGAGCTGTTAAGACAAATCTTTTCAAACCTTGAAGCATTTTATAATAAAAGCTTTTTGGAAAAATAAATTTAAAAAAAGGATTGGAGAACTTTAAAAGGCTCTTTTGCTTTAATCAGATACTGGCTGTTATCAATCATTAATAATACTGACTTCCTCTAGCACTGCATGTGGCCTAACTGCAATAGTCTGCTGATATTACCTATGCAAAAATTTAACCAGAATATTTACTTTCTTATTTTGTAGGAAAATGGCTCCCAGCCATTTTGATACATTAATTCACCCAGCTTCATTAATACTATGAAAAACTCAACCAATACTGGAAACACAGTAATGTCAGACTAGGAATGTAATTATAGTACCACACTGCATGTGATATTTTAATCATATTACAGAAATATAATCTGAAATGCACATCTTAAATGGATTTCCTGCCAGTATTATTATTGACTTGTAGGTAAGAGTGCTTTGTGTTCATCTGTTACACATGAATCACAAAACTGGCTTTAATAAGAATCATCTGAGTTAAGGTAAAATGTAGATTACTGAACAATATGCTGAGCAATAGAATGAAAAGACTCCATTATTGTAAGAGGAAATAATATCTTTATTAATTACTTTCCACTAATGCTTAAATTGCATTTAAATTTCTGAGTATAATTTGGTATTATTCAAAATAATTCAGCTATTATTCAAAATATTTACTGTCTTTTAAATTGAAGGCTTATCTTGCATACCTTTAAGTCAGCCATAATTAGTTAGAATTAATCCCACCTTGTATGTTAGAATGTACCCCACTGTGCTTGTATGCCTGCCATGCTCTTGAAACTCTTCCTTCCTGCAAGCTAAGTTCTTCCCTCCAAGATCCCTACTGGTCATCCTTGCCCTGCCCAGTGTGTGCCTTTCTGGCTGATAACACCTGCTGTTGACAATGTGGTTTTGTGTTATTCCTACTGAGAGATTTCTACCCTACTGCATCCTCCTTTCCTTTAGTGGCTTCTCACCCATACTTTATATTGCTTCTGTTTCATCTGTTATGACTTCTGCCTGAGCAGATGGTCTTTCCATGTTGCCTTCAGATGTGCCTGATTGCATGGTTTCCTAGGTGACACTGTCCAGAATCTATAGCTGATCTCCATCCAGCTATATCTTGGACTGCTGCATTTTGCCATTCCTTGTGGGAGAAAAAATTACCAAGAAGGAATATGTCATCTCTATTAATAACTCTTAGCAGTCCTATTCTCCCAAGGACATAATACCCATCAAACTCCTTATCAGTTGTTCCTATGATTTAGTTATGTTTTCATGTCACCAGTGACTGATTCGTTCCCCCTCCCCTAAGATAATAAAACATTTTTGTTCTTAACTTTCTCATATTTCACTCCTGTCAGCCATTCTAATGACTGAGACAAGCAGGAAGAACTGAACTTAATCTTTCCTTGTATCGTTTCCCTTGCTAGATGCATCTCATTTGTATTCGCAAGATCTGGTACTATGAATAGTCTTGAAGCATGAAAACATGTGGCCCTGGTGTCTTACCACTAACATATCCAAGGCCCACTGGACTTGTACAATGTTTACAGCTACACTCCCCTGACTCCTTAGATAACTGTGGGTTCTCTACAGTGCTCCTTAGTATAAATTCTATTATGAAGAGCAAGCATATCACTAGTCATTCAAAAAATTCTATAATTATTTCATTAACACAAGTTTGAAGTCTTCACATACAGGTTCTTTAAAGAATTATACAGCTTAACGTGCAGATACTTAATGCCTTCCCCCATATACTACAGATGCCAATTACAGCAAGTAACACAGGCTAGGTTCTGGCATTTGCAATTCTAGGTAATAGTAAGGAAGGCAATTTTGTTGCATTTTCAGAAACAGAAAAAGACTTGTAAAAGAACATCCTCTCCTTTTAAAAAACAACTGTGATTCCATCAAATAATCAACAGGTGAGTTTGTATTTTTGCTACAGAAATGTCTTTGTAGCCCTGACAGCTTTAAGATCTCATAGGGTATGAGATTTTCACAACTCATGAAAAGTTTTGGGCTCAAACCAAAGAAACTTGGATTTTTCTTTAATAATTTCAAACCAAACAACTTCTGAGGCTCAGAAATTAAACTCTTGAGAAATCATTTCATGTCCTGTAACATCACTAGGTGGGCTCTCAATAGAAGGAATGGTACTGTCATCACTTTGCTGAAATATTAGTTTTTCTTCAAATTTTCAGAAAAAAAACCCAAACACATCAGAAGCTCTCATTGCGACAATAAGCTTAGCAAAATACCAGCTTCCTTGTAGCCTATCACAAATGTCAGTTTACCCTCCACATGTTTCGGAAAGTGCTGGTCAGGTACAAACTCCGGCCAATCCACCCAGTTTACTCTGTTCCAAGGGCTGCAGTGGCAAAGCAAAGGAGAGGATCTGACTGCCAACACCTGGGATTCCTGAGCCCAAGGCTGGTCCCTGTGATTCAGGAGACAGACAGAGCCTGCAAGCCCAAGGGGAACACTGCTGTGGTTTTTGTGCTGAGAACAGCTTGCAGGGACGGGAAGGGGGAATGTAGGAACTGAGCAAGTAGCTGCCCTTCAGCACTGTTAATCCAATTACCACATAGACTTAAATACTGAGCTAAGCTCTCAGTTACATGAGTGAAAGCAGGAAGGGACCACACCATGAAGGGCTGGGTTTCTGGAGCACAGGATCATTGTGCCCTACTCATAGGTTGTATGAGGATATGTGTGTGACCCAATCCAAGGCTGCTCCTGTGAGTCAGACCATTCATGGAGGGTGGTTAATAATTCCTGCGTGGGGCTGGGTATATGGTAAAAATCAGTTGCACATGACTAAAAAATTCTTTCTCCTGCTCAGCCACTACTGCAGGGTCAGGAGGGGTGGGGAGGTGAAGCGACTGAGGGTGCCAGGGCTGAGAGAGAAGTGGGCAGGGCTGTGACCTGTCTCTGCTGGCCATGGTCCCCCACAGGGTTTGGAGGTTAACTGGGAGCGGTGGGGGAACACTGGGGCAAGCTTCGGAGCTGCCTGAGAGCCAGAGTGCATGCACTGACCTCCTGTTCCAGCCTCTGAATGCAGCGGGCAGAGCTGGGGTGACAGCAGGATGTGGGCTCATGTCCCACTGGGGCCAGGGCTGGGTATGGGCTGCTGATAAGGCTGGATCTGATGTGGGCTCCTGGACCCTGTTCAGAGGGGATGGGTAGGCTGGGGAGTGCAGGGCAGGGCTGCCTGTGCCCCCCCAGCCCTGACAGGAGGTCTGTTTTCACCAAGAGCATAAGAGGAGCTCCTTAGGAGTCAGGGCAGCAGGGAGGGCCAGAAAATTTCCCTGGATACTTGCTAAGCTTCAAACAGATACATCAGATGTAAAGATACATCTCATGATTACCACCACTGCGATGTTGCCATCCAAGGGCTGGATAACACCCAGATGTGGTTGTACTCCAGGTCACAGAAAGAAGAGAAAAATGTCTAGTGATAACCTCAGCCATCCTATGTGAGTGTCTTGGTTTCAGCTGGAAAGAGTTAATTTCCCTTCTAGTGATTGCTGTGAAAGGAGTGTCTGTAATGCATATTGTTTTAGTTGTTGCTAAGTGATGTTTATCAAGGACTCTTTTCAGCTTCCCATAGAAGCTGAGAAGGAGCCTAGACAGAACAACAGAATGGCCAATGGAATATTCTGTACCATAGACTTAGTGCGCTGTATATAAACAGGGGGTTGGCCAGGGCAGCGGGGACTCTGCAATCACTGCTATGGTGCACGGCAATTCACTGGCTGGTGAGAGTGTCTTGTGTCATTATTATTATTGCTATTATTTTTACTATTATTTTCTTTTTCCGTTATTGTTTCTTTTAAACTGCCTTTATCTCAACCCTCGAGTTTTTTTTCCTTTCCCCTTCTGCTCCTTCTCTCCCTCTTTTCCCTGTCCTCCTGGGTGAGAGGGGAGAACTGTGTGAGTTGCTGTGTGGTCCTAGCTGCCTGCTGAGGTTGAAACACAACAGTGGGGTACTGTCAGTTAGATCAATTATTGTAAAAGAATCACACCGGTAAACTGCGTTGCCACAGCACACCATTCTGGTGATGCTGTGTATCTCCCTCCCAGAGTGTGGGAAGCCCAGTTTGTCCTTGCAGCCAGGAGGAACTTGTGTGAAACATCGCAAATGCCAGGCTACTTACTCTGGTTCTGTGAGGGGAGTTGTCTCATTTGGCTCATTTACTGGGCTCCCGTCTTCATGATTGGTAATTCTTTCATCCTCTGTTCGCATTTCCACTATTGGCTCTTTTGATCCATCTTTCCTAAAAATTATGAAGAGTCTTAGTCTCGTATCATCATATTAACCACATAAATTGCACACAACTAATTACCAAGATCCTTTCTCTCAAGCTGGCAAAGAAAAGGCAGAACTAATTATCAGTGACTAACAACACCAATACGCATTTAACAGCGTGTTCCCAATTCCTTGAAGTCTTCAAAGCATCCTGTATCCATGGTTACTTACCTAACTCTGCAAACATCATGGATTAGCATCTCAAAAGAGCATTTTGTTTATGACTAAATAATAAAATGATGGCCTCTTCATGGGAATAAACGAAAACTGTTCTAACCTAGTATAAGAAATACAGGTCTTGATGCCTAGTTGTGCTTGAACTTTTCTGGCAGTGTAAAGTGCCTTCATGTTTGTATACACACTGCAGAACTGTACTTTAATCTCCTGAGATTGTGACAATCCCAGCTGCAGAAACAAGGTAAAAAGCCCTTGTGTGATAAGAACCTAGCCCCTTCTGTTTGCACTGCTAGAGGAAACTCTGTTTCTATGTCAGTTCCCCCCATTTTAGGAACAAATGTTAGTTTCTCACATGTAAGTAAATGAACAACCTTTGTGCCAATTGCACAATGACTGTAAGTAGTGTGCTTACTCACTGGAGCAGTGAGTACTATCACTACACTTTTGTTGATTATTTGGCCATGATATGGAAAGCACTGTTTGCTGCTACAGAAGTATTAACAGTATTGCTACTAATTAAAAAACTTGCATATAATTTTACTCTTGAAAGAAAGATCAAAGGATACCCAAAATATGTTCTATATTTCAAAAATAAAACCTCTTTCCATGTAAATATTTCATCCCTATTCCTGCCATCAGGAATTGTATCCTGGAACTTTAACTTTTGCAGTCTGGAAATACAGGCTGAGTTACAGGCGAACAATCATTTTTGTATTTAACTGACCATTTTCTGGACCTGTTATGTTCTAGAGAGCAGTTATAATGCTATGCTCCATAGCAAAGATCCAGTTAATCCCTTTTCTAATTCATATCTCACTTTTTTTTTTTATCTTTCCTGAGAAGATAAATGTACTTGGATAACTCTACCATTGTCTGGTAGGTAGCCTCAAGGAAAATCTTTGTAGCACAGATAAATGTGTAGCCGAGAAGTTGAATAGGGAAAGATTAATGGATTAATGGATAGAAGTCTAAAAGATCCCTTTTTTTTTTTTTCTTAAAATGGCGTGATTTGTGCTTATACACCTCTGCAAGTGAAATTCTACTTTAAGATACACAAATGGATACAATGCTCATTTCTGTAGACGATGCACATATCTGTCATGGCTACCTTAAATTAGGAAAAGTTTATGGGTCATAGTAGAACTGGTGGAGGGAATGGTAAATTCTACTTGGTTTGTCTGTACATCTACAGTCTTATGGACAAACATATGTTATTGCAAAACCAAAAGCCTAAAAAAGATGTTATTAGTGAACAGCATTCACATAGGATTGAGAAATTGATCTGTACAAACTGTGTAACAGCTAAAAATTTCACAAACAGGCAAGTGGTTTGTAGGAAACACATTATGTGATTTCTGTTCCAGGTGACTGCTTTGCATTATATCATGTACATTCATTACAAATGGTACATAATTAATGGCTATATATAACCTACAATCAAAATGTAACAAAGAACCGTACCATAAACATACTCAAAAATCCAGAATGCAAAGTGACATATTTAAAAGAAGGAAATGTCAGTGTCTTTTAGGGAATGGCAGTTAGCATGAAATAAATTCAAATTTTTACTCTTCAAGCCAGTCTTGAAATTTCAGCCTGACAGTTTATTTATGCTGACCACAGTCCCAAATATTTTAAGGTCTGACTGACTGAAGATCACCCCAACAAGGAAAGAAATATAATTAAATAAGATGGTTGTTCTTGCAAAATACGTGTCATTGAGGAATTAATATTAAGCGACCAGCTTTATGCTTTTCTGGGACAGCATGGAGTGGCATTTGGGTATAAGATGTTGATAGCAAGGTATAAACTGCTGTCAAGTGACATTTGCAACTTTAGCTCCCTAAGGTCTTCCCATTCAGAAAGGGTCTGTACACAGATTCATATTTGGTCACTTCTTGAATGCGAAATTGAATCATAAGCTGAAGTGCTGTGCTCAATAAGAAAGGACAGCTGAGTCAGAGCCAGAAGCTTCACATCTTGATTCTATTGTCCCAGACATGCTGGCTTCACACAACAGCAAAAATGGTGTTATTCTTTCTCTCACTGTAAGTTGCAGAGAATTAAAAAATAGGTATTTTAAGGCATAACTTTTTTTCAGAATAATTATTTGACATAAATACTGCGTGCCTGCTTCTGATTGATTTTGTTTACGAAGCTGTTTCCGAACAGTTGAGAACCCAACCGAGAAATGTAATCAGGTTACTTAAGAAAGACACAGTCTCTGAATCCCAACAGCCAGAACTAAACCCAAAAACGACACTTATGCCTCCATTAGCAGCAACGAAGAAGCCAAGTACAGCTATGAATAATGAGAGCTGTGAAATCTGATCTGCCGGGATATGGGAAGCTGTAGGAGAATGAACTGCAAGGTCTGACTACTGGGAGAGCTAGAGAACACAGGAATAGCATCAGTCAACTATTTAAAACACAGAAAGACAGCATTCTCACAGATATTACAGTGTATGCATAAGAAGTCTAACATATGAACATAATGAGGAAGTGATGTGTTTTCTAGTTAAAAAAAAGGAACTGCCTAAAATGAGAGGTCATAAGTAATCCTCTCTCCGGTTTACCTCTTGAAAGCCCTGTAAATGTTGGGTCTTTAAAGCACTATTATTTTATGCAATCAGTATCTGAACTGTTCAGCCGGAGATCTCACTGTTCACTCTCATCATTTAAGGAAACATATTTGCACATAAGTCATCAGTTCATTCACATTTGTTTGAGGAAGTAGCCACTATACAAGGGTATTTGTGACAATCAGGATTGTTTTTCCCCATTTAGGTTCAGCAATCATTAACTGTTGCTATGAAGAACAATCAGGCCCACCATCATTTCACGCACATTTTTATCCAACTCAGCACTCCTATTTTTAAAAAAACAACAATATTTTTTTATTCCTAAGGTCTATGGGTAAGAAACCAAATTTCCATCAAGTGCTATATCTGAGAAGAAAAACTTTTTTCACACAGATTTTCCATAATACTATGTCCTTTACTTTCAGATTTACTGGCACTGCCACAACCATACTCTGAGTTTTTGGGTATTAGCAACTCAAGGACGGATTGGTAGAAATGACCTGTAACCTGTTCCTCCTGGACCAAAGACGTGTCTATAATTATTACTGAATTATGATCAACTTCCTTTGTGTCAAGCTGCACAAAGAAGCCATCTTAAAGTGAGGTATGGTAAATGCCTTTTTTTTTTTTTTTTTAGTCCATTTTTCTTTTAAGGCAATATTTGACCACAAACAATTCTATACAGTTCAAAGGAACACTTTTCCAAGTAATAGAAACATTTTATGAATTCCTTTTGCCACAGCACAAAATGGCCTTAAGTTAAGTTAATGCAAGTTGGATAGCCAGCTTTTTCTTTTAACAAAGTTTTCAAAATACGTGATTAATACTCACAAGTAAGCTGCCTTTCCTTCTTCCAGTTCTTTACTTTTTCCACTTGAACCACTCTTTTTCCCACAGATCCTCCTGGTGATGCACATTAGCAGTCCACATTGTCGTAAAAAGAAGCAGCTAACATCTGTCACAACCAGGATTAACAAAAGGGCTGCCACTCCCAGGCCAATGACAGCACCAAGTCCAAGACCATTAAAAATAGTGTCTTGAAGGAAAGAAAATTAAAATTTATTAATAAAATTTACTTTACTAAAGGATAAAATAATAGCATTTTTTAGAGCTTTTAATCTGTAGGCCAGGAGGCTAAAGGATGTTCAGAAGATTATGAACATATACAACCCGATTTAAAAAATCACAAAAAATATCTATCATACATAATTTGCCTATTGCCAAAATTCCAATATGGTCACAGAGCATAAATGACATCATTTAATAACAAATAACATCACATCTTAACATTCCAAAACTGAGACTATCAGTATGCAGCCTAAGAAAAACATTTTAAATATTCAGGATAATAATAGCAGATATAAGATTTTCCACATTTCAAATATAATGATTAGCAGTGGCGCTAAGCAGAATTTATCAAAGGTTTAAGAGAGTGCTAAACCAGCATTTATTCTTGTAAAGGTCATTTTTTGAATTAAAGTAAAATGAAAAAGTCTTCAAAGAAGTTAATTCAAGCTATTTATTCTGCAGTTACATACATTAGTCTTTAATAAATTAGTATGAGGAAAACTAAGGAAATCATTAAATGATTATAGGGTTAGGACCTCATCGTACCTTAAAAATACATTAATACACTTAAAAATAAACATATTCCACACCTGATCTTGCTTTCTGTATTCATATTATGAAAGCTGGTGCTTAGCTGATTTTATTTCATTACAAATCTCATAACACACATTTTAATGTTTTGACTCAGTTGACATTTCTGTAACAGACAATAATGCTATGGATTGTTTTGAACATTGTGATTCTCAGGAGAACAACAACTACTGTGTTTGTTAACTGAGATGACCCTTATGAAAGAGAGGATTTGTATCAGATCAATAAACTAGGGGAAAAAAACGCGCCACCTCAGTAATGGTTCATGCTAGTTCAAAAAAGTGTCAGTCTAGCTCAGAAATTGGCTAGTGACAATTGCCTAGTGCAATGCTATGGTTTTCTGGACCTTGGTGTTGCACTTCATCATTGCTTACTTAGTGTTACCATGCCTTAAAGTGGCACATGAGTCACCAGTGCAGTGGTGCATTTCCATTTGCAGCTGTATCTATGCTTGTCAAAATAAGAGCAAGATTTTTCTGACAGGAAATTACTTGAATACCAAAACATAATATAATGTAATATAAAATAAATGTTTTAACAGGGCTACAACTATCATAGAATCATAGAATCATAGAATCGTCTAGGTTGGAAGAGACCCTTGGGATCATCAAGTCCAACCATCTACCCTACTCTACAAGGTCCTCCCCTACACCATGTCCCTTAGCACTGTATCTAATCGGCCCTAAAACAGCCAGGGATGGTGACTCCACCACCTCCCTGGGCAGCCTGTTCCAATGCCCTATCATCTTTCTCCTCTTTCTCTTCTACCTCCTTGATTCATTGTGGACCATTTTCAGATTAAGAATATAATTTAAGCTTTCATATTCCTGTTTAATTCATTTTTCAGAAAATATCTATTTACCCTTTCAACTATAATTTGAAAATAATTTTCTTGAGGACTTCTAAATCAATACATGCTAACAGAAATATAAGCTTTGTTAGTCTCTCTTAGATGGAAAAGTAAGAACTTTTTTCAAAAGAAGGGGAACATTTTACTACTTATGCAATTGATTTCATTGCCTATTGTACGGGTTGTTTTATTATAGAACTGTTCTTTAGAATGTTATTATGCAATAAGCCAGAATTCAATGTATATATTTACATGGATGGATAGGCAGATAAATAGACAGATATTACTTCAAAGTTATTTTCCTTTCTTCAGAAAGACTTAAAAAACTCTATGTAAATAACTAAGATGGCACAGCAATGAAATGATGTATCATTTATGCATTGCCTCGTCAGCAATGTTGGAAGTTGATATTTCACATGAATTAATTTTCTTTATTTATTATAATTTTGATACATCTTCCAAAACTTGCTTTATCCATACATCCACCCATCTATTTGATGACTTCCTTTCTAAATTGAAGTCATTTGTGTTTACTAATCTGAATTGTCAGGAAGATATAAATTGATATTTAATTCCAGTTTATTGAAAAGCTTGTATGTTTCAACAGATATAATACCAGTAAATTCTATAAAGTCCAGTTCTAGAGACCTCATACAGCAAAATTTTCTTTTCTATACATTCTTTACCACTAAATAGAACTGTGGAGGAGAATAATTATAGTTTTTTAATCCACATTTTTAAAGGGATTCAGGGTTGTTTTGTTGCTGTTGCATTTTTAGGATTTTTTTTCTTTTTTTTTTAATGCAGTGTTAAGAAGAATTTACCATAGGGTGATACAATTTTCACTGATGTAAACAGCATTTCCAGTGTCACTGTAATGTGGCAAGCGTCCCAGACAGAAAAGCCTACACAGTATTTTCACTGGCAAGTGAAGGAAATGATTATAGTAACAATATTGCTCCTTTGTACAATGATATGCATATCCATTTACTGTAGTTGTGGGTAAGACTTTCTTTTTCATTTTTAATCTTCTTGGTATTGGTGAGACATATGAGACCTAGATTTTTGACTGTTACATATTCTTCTGTCTCTTTATGATTGTTAATATCCTTTTTATTCAGCATTCCCCATCTTTATTACTGCCCTACTTGTTCAAAGTCCTGGTTTTCCTACTTGCAATCCTACTTGCAAATGTCAGGTTTCTGTTTCACAACATTTGAAAGTCTGATTTCTTATGACTGTCAATACGTTTCAAACATTACATCAACATTTCTCTCCTTTGCCTCTCACACCCCAAGAGTGACAGGAACATAACTGCATCCTGTGGTGGGACCTGTGCTTGGCTTTCATCAGTCTTCTTGCTGCTCTTAGGCTTTTTATGTCCTTTTTTCTTCTGGAGATAGGCAGATATTGGACTGTTTTGTTTTTTAAAAGTGTCTGTGTTATGGTATAATTTTTTATATTAATGAAAATGTATAAAATTTATTTTCTAAAAGGTCATCTTTGGCTTAATTCTGCTCTTGCTCATATTACTGGGACTTTGTACTGATCTATCTGCTTCTGCAAAAGTCAGTTGTAAAACGACTGGCAATTACTACAGAAGAAGACTTTGGCTTTTCCTGACTGCTTAAAAAAATCATATCTTAATATATCTTTGGTATCACAATAATGTGAAATGTTGTCTTAACATCTTATGACATCAACAGAAGTATTAATTCTGTGACTGGATGAAATGTTAACATCATACTACAGATAGTCTTTCAAACAACTTTAAAAAACACCTTTGCTATCAAAAAGTTTTGTCCTCAAATTAATTTGGATTAGCTTTACTGCGGCAATTCTTAAACAATACCAAAAAAACCATTATAAGCAGCAATGATTTCAAAATTTTTTTGTAGTGTTCAGTATGCACTAAATGGACTCAAAATACTAGTTCTGCTTTGTGCTCTACAACAATAAAGTATTTATACATTACATACCTTCTTCCTAGCTGACAACACTTATTTTAAATCATAAAAGTTCAATGTTAACGTGAGAGAATTGGTTCTTAACAATTTTGAGAAAAGGTTTATTGTCTGCCTGTCTTAGTAATCTAACCATAGTGGAGCCTTTTAAAACACTGTTTGGGAAAAAAAATACGTAAGTTCCACAGTTCTGAATGAGTTTTAATTATCATTTGTCAGAAATATGCTGAATTTAAAATAATGTGCTTTTTGTTATATAGAATGTGGCATAAATAATATAATACACCTTGTCATGATAATGAAGGAAACTGCCAACTTTAAACAAAGTCAGTTCATTTATCCACTTCTTCCAGTAAGTGCTTAACAATGAATACTTATGGAAATAAGATTACAGAACTTTCAAAATGCAATAAAAATAATAAAAAAGAAGAAGAAAATTTCTATAAATGTCATGGAAAGTATTGACAATTTTCAAGTTCTTGCTCATTCAATAATTTGTTTTTCTAACTTCTGATCAAATAATTGAACATTTTTGTACAAATCATGCAATGAAGGAATTTGGCAAGTAAAACAGGATTTCCCAGTAAAGAGAAATAAGTGGAAAGATAAATTTTATGGACCTTCACATGCAAATTTAGAGTAAATTCCTTTAAGGAGTCTGTATCAGATACTCTAAAGAGAAACAGGCTTAAAGAGAGAGCCACCATCTACATATGTGTAGAGGTACACAGGTACACTACGTACACAGAAAACTACGGGTATGGCTTCTGCACAAAGAGACAGGAACTTAATATGCAACATTCATATATTCCAGCTGCTCTTAAATTAAGGTATGTCCTTTCATGTGACAGAATTTCTTTGTACTCTTACAGAATCTGCATATATTTAGTTGTTGATACAACAGAATTACAATTGCAAGTGTTATAATAACTACTCCACTTGAGCAGGGGAGGTTGGACCTCCCAAAGTCCCTTCCAACCTCAACCCTCCAGTGATTCTAAGCTTTGTTGAAAAAAAACCCAACAAGTTAGCAGATTTTTGTGCCTTTCTTCCCTCCTCCTTAGAAGTTAAAGGAAAGATAAATGATTCTACATTGCCCTTAGCCTTTTACAGTCATTTACATGTTTAAAGAAAAAAGGCAGTGTTATTAAGCACTTCCCAAAGCTATTAGGGCAGCACCTGGCAGCTAAATTTGAATGGGTGTGAATAAGTGTGCAGGAACATTATGCATAAGTTTGTCCTTTCTTTCAGGTCAATCTAAAGCTAGAGTAGGAACTGCTCTTGAGCCAAAGTAGTTGAAAAATATGAGCTAGACGATGAATTTTAAAATATTGCACTAGATACTGGCAGAAAAAAAAAAGGCATGGTTTTGTTTGTGACCTTTTTAAACTGTCCTGTTGTATTGACTCTTACAAAGGCTGTCCAGTCATGACAGATATTTCTGCACTGCCTATGAATGTTGTCTTTGTTTTCATATCTGATCTAGAACTTTTCTTAGAATCAAAGGCTTCCAAGATTTATAAACTTATTCAAAACCTCTAAAAAGGTAAAAAGCATACATCT